TTTTTTCCCTTCCTAACTGCTGAGTACTTAACTTTGCTGATTTTGTATTTTTAAATGCAGCTTTGTGTGCCCAACCCGTAGCTAGGGTTTCATTAGCACATCAGCAATGACCTGTACAGTTTAGGGAAAATACATGTTTTTGGGGAAAAAAAAATAACAACTGCACTGAACTTTAAGGGAGATCATACACTTACTGATTTAAGTCTATGCAATATGAATTATAAATGCATATTACATACATGCTTTTATGCCTACAGAGAGATTACACAGGTAGAAATGCACCACAACATTTCTAAGTGTACATTCTCAGAGTGATTTTTCAAGCGAGGATTTTTAGTGTTAGAACTTTACTGGGGGGGAAAAAATCTTTTCTCTCTCTCCCTCAACTAGGACTAAAACAGGTATCTTTTACTTCACTAGGCAAGAGCTTAATCTTTCTGGAAAAAAGACAGAATGCAGAACTCTATGTGTTTTCACTTTATCACATTTTTTCTGCTAGGAGCCTTGCTGGAATTGTCGGCGAGCGCCCCGCGAGCGCGCACAGAGCACGGCCCAAATCCTGCCCCGCGCTGCAGACCAAGTTCACGAGGGAAGGGGGAATAAGGGCTCTCTTCTTCCATCTGCCGCGAACGCAGCAACAAGGCAGGGTTCCAACCCAGCACGCAGGAGAGTGCCAGAAAAGGGACCTGCTACCGTGCTGGCTGCCACCCCGGGCCCGGGGGGAGGCCGGCCAGCTGCGGGGTGGAGCCGTGCCCCCAGCCAGCACCGGCCTGGCCCTGCAAAGCACAGCGCCGACCCCGGCGTGCAGGCATCTCCTCTCTGGTTAGCCTCACTGGGGGATAGGAAGCGCTCAGGAAAGGAAGGCTCTTGTCTGAATACAGGGAGAGCAGATTTGTAACTAACTCGCCTCACACCAGCTCTGTCGAGGTGGTACAACGTGGTGGACTGAGTGTGGCGGCCAAAGCGAGTAAATCAGTAAATCTAACCTTGAAGAACCAAAGGTCTGCGCAGAGCAAATCTCTGTGGGCAACAACAGTCAGCAGAATATGGAACCCAAGCATCCTGGATTACGTTCAGATCACAGTCTGAAGTGAGGAGGGTACATTTGGTCGGTAGTAGGGTATGGCCTCTCCTGAACCTAGTGGGAAGGATTCCACCTCAGTGTCAGGTACTCCCTGCAGTGCCGGAATGGAGCCGGGGAGCTCCAGGTGCTCCTCCTGCTCACCCAAGGCAAGAGGGACCCTGCCAGTGAACCCTGCAGTTTAACCCCAGCAGCCTGACTGTGCCTTGAAGCTGGGCAGGGAATTTGGAGATAACCAGTCCATTCCAGTGGCAGGAGTGTGGACAGGGGTAAATCCCTGTCAAAGGGAGCAACAAATAGCTGGGGGCAATACTTCCTTCAAAAGTCACTTTGAAACCACGAACCTTTGACTACAGGAGATTCAGGTGTGGTAGGAGTGACATACACTTGAGGACCAATTTCACTAAGATTCAGCACTGAAACTGGAAATGAGAAGTAAACGGAGATGGAGATTTAATTGCCATAATGCATTTTTTTTCCTCTATAGGAAAGAGCAATCTCATTCCCTGAAAAAATAACCTTAGGTTTAAATAACCTTAAGGATATGATATTTTTGACTTTTTTTTTCCGGACATACATTTTTGAGGGGGTTCTGATACGCAGACCATTTCCTCTGACTTTAATTCAAGCACACCACAGATCTTTGCTTTTTAAAGCTCAAGAACTTGTTTGGTTTGCTACAGCGCAATAAAACTTCAGGCAATAGAACCTATTATTTGGTCTTGTTAAAACAGTTCATAAACTATATTCAAATATTATGAACTGTGTTACCAACTGCTAAATAATCTTTTGACCCCTCTGAACATCCTCTGCAGAAGAATCTCAGCATCACTTTACAAGTATTGTTTATTCTCCAAATAAACCCACCCAGAGGAGAAAACATGCACATATATAAGACAAAAAGAAAAAAGAAAGAAAAATAATTTAAAAAGGATTTGTCCAGTAAGCAAGTCAGTGAAAGAGCTGAAAATGAAGCCTTCATATCGTAACTGCACTCTAGACTGAACTATGGGTTGAGCCTTTTTCCAGAGATGTCATATTACAAAGTTGTCCCACATGACAAAATGTTGAATAGCTAAAGTTTTGCTACTTTTTTCCCGTTTTTGCAGTAGTCACTAGTGAATTTGGACTTCACATACAGCTAATACATTGATTTAATCAAAGTGGAGGAATGCAATTCATTATACAGATGTATATATAAAAGCTACATTAGTGACGGGGCGAGGATTATTTTTGCCATTTAACCTGATTTAATCAAAGTGGAGGAATGCAACAGGTGTATATATAAAAACTACATTAGTGATGGGGCGAGGATTATTTTTGCCATTTAACCACAGTTCTGAAGTTATACTGAGGACTACACTGGGTATCCTAAGTACATCATCTCATCGCTTTTCATGCAATTCTTTGACCTGGAAGTAGTCATAGTTTTCCTCTGTAAAATGGTGTGCTGAAGTTAGTTGTAATACCTGGTATTTTTACTGCCTGGCTCCATTTTTCTGCTGTCATATGTCAAAATAAAGTTTGAAAAAATGTAAATGCTTCACTGAGCTACAAACAATGAAAAAAGGTGTTCTGCCTGCCATCAACCCCACTGTTAAAATATTAACACAATGTAAATATTGTAATATTGAGGAAGTACACTGTGTCAGTACTTCCTGGCATCGTACAAGAGCTTCACTGTTCACTTCAATCCCTGCTGTTAGTTTTAAACACACACAACTTAAACAAGGCATCTGAGCTTCTCCAGTCCTGGTGTGGGATTGCAGAGAGGCAAAAATCTTACTGAAGGTTCTCTCTAGACTAAAAAACAAAGTATTACAAAAAAATCCTCAAACCCAAACAATTATGTAGATGTCAGTACTTCTGAGGCAAAAATATTCCACAGGGTCTTTCAAAATTCTTGGTATACTGCTGCCAAACATGGAAAGATCTTTGAGTGTGCTCCGTCCTCCCCTTCCTCAGAGAAGAAAAACAAGCTGCGAATGCCCACCAATGCCAAAAGCCTGAAAGCCCACGTTATTCATCATGGCAAAAGTCCCATTCCCCAGATTTGCCAGAAAGCACATTACTTGCAATTGACTCTCTCTCGCTCTCAATTGACTGAATAATAAGCATGCATGTAATAAAGAGAATGAAGCAGCTACCTGCTACTAGTAACCCAAATGTTGTTATCATAGGTCATAGAATTGCTGCCTAGCTGCGATAATTAGGCATTCATGAGGGAAGCATCACAGAAAATAAAAGCAGTCCCATGAAAATAGTGAAGAAAAGAATGATCTCTACTGAAAGCAAAAAGTTCTGGTCATACTTGCAAAAAGTCAACAGATTTTCTAAAGAGAAAGGAGAAAACTCTAGAAGTGTAAAGCCAAAATTCACTCTGCTGGTCTTGGTTAATGTAAGATAAAATCCTGCTACTGACAAAGCCAAAGATCTCATTAGTTTCAATGGGAATAGCATAAAGCCTTGAAATCTGAAATTACCACTATTTATGCTTAGAGGATTCATTGTGTCACGCACTGTGACATGTCTAACAAAGACAGTCCTTGTCCCACAGACCTAGTGATCTGAATTCAAGACAGCATGAAGTACTGGGGAAAGAGAACTGAATGTGTGAAATGTCTAATATTTCAGAAATGTCTAATCCCAGGAAAACTAGATGGCCAGGATGACAAGAAATGAGTTCTATGTACCATGTTATGACAAAAGAAAGGAGCAAACACTGTTTCACACTACCACACAATCTATAAGGATTCCAAATTGCCACAGACTTCCTATGAATAATAGCCCTGTTCCATATTTAAATTACCTGCTGCTCCCAGAGCTTTCTCACCTTTCACACGTGCTCATATACACAAACAAGAGCTGAAACGAAAATGAACTGTACAATGCCTCCACATGCCAGTCGTAGCAATGGATAAACTCTACTCTTACACAAGGTAAGAAATTATCCTGGGGGTTAACACATTTTTTTTCCACTTAACTTTAACTCGCTCACAGAGCCTTATCTTGGAAGCCATCTTTCAGTCACGTACCCAGCTGAAGGCTTGCATCACCAGAATCGTACATGATCAAGACTACTAGAAATCCCTTTTTTCCTCCCTCAGTGTTTTCTTACATGCCAGTTTATCTACTAAGGGAAAGCACTATGAACACAACACTTAGTCAACCTCTTTATCTGTCATCTTACTTAAAACAGGAGAAATACTCTGGAGAACTCAGGCAGCATTCAGTATGTAAAGTGGGCAGGAGACAGCTACAAAAAAAAAAAAATCTAAGAACTAGAAGTCATTCCAAAACCGAACGACATACTGTGAGGGGGTTGTTCATTGTTTGTTTTTTAAAGACAAACAGGGATTTTTTTTTTGTCCGTTTCATGAAATATTATAGCTAAGATCCTGCTCTGCTTCCATAAATGGCTGTTTTTCTTGCTCTCGGTGGGTGGTCTCAGAGTTTTTAGAGGGGAACGCCACAAGCTAAAAACATAGGATGCTACAGAGATAGCCCACCTGCAGCGGTGGTGGGTGTGAAGGGGGAGAGAAAAGGTGATTTCAAAGGCCAAAACAGACTGTGGTAGGGGAAACCAAAGGTCAGAAATGTATTTACAGCTCTAACAATGGGGGAGCCCTGCTGAAATGAGCAGTTAAGGAGGAGATACACATTAGGAAAACAAGGGAAGAAGAAAAGAGGCAAAAATATTAGCTTTCACTTTTACTGTTAGTACATTTTTTTAAAGGCTGTTATTAGATTAAAAACAAATCAATAAGAAACTCAGACGTAATATCTGACATTCTTTTGTGTTTCTTTTACATTTCTATTTTATGCCAGCTGATTTATTGAAACACATTTTCCTTTAAAAGCCACAGTATGAACAATATGTCAGCACCAACACTTGCCCATGTTTTGCCAGGTGTCTTACCTGTTTTCTACAAGGAAGTCTACCACATATTTCTTCAGACAGTAGAGATGGGCATCCATCAGCCCTGTCCTGATGTGCATTCTAGGGTGCCTGGAAAAGGAAAGAAAAAGGAAAGTTGTAATGGAATTTTGCATGACTATTTTTCAAAGTTTGACGTTGCAATTAAGTCAGTGGATGGTGAAAAGTTTAACCAAGACAGATCTATTCCTGTCCATCTTTCGCTGTATTAACAGAGAGGAGAATGACACAGGCTGCCATTATTAGACTGTGTCTATAAACTTACACCTGCTGGCTCCGGGTTGATTTGTTGCAAAAGAAAATACCTCCTCCCAGGAGTCATTACTCCTGCTACATCTTCTTATTTTTTTAAGTGGAAATTGCACATTGCTGGGCAGGAAGCCAAAGTAATGGGCCCAGAGTGCTAAAAGTTACAGCGGGTAATGTCAGGGTACAATAATTCAAAGCTTCTGGCTAAATGCCTGCCTTAATATGCAAGGCTGTGCACGTTCCACTAGCAAACACAACAACACTACTGTATTTTTTCCAACATTTCCTGGAGGGGGATAGGGATTGGAGATGGCATCTGCCCCCCGTTTGCCATAGTACGCATTGGAAACAGCCGTCAAAGCTCAGTTACAGAGTACCTGCCTCGTCAGCCCAGGACGACAGACAGGGTCAGCCAAACTCTCTCTCATCGTTAGCCAAACAGCCTTCAAATAAGGCAGTCTTACCTATCAGACCAGGGGCACATTAGTAGTTCAGTAACTCAGAAGCCTCTATTAGCTTCAAATCTCTGTTAAGAACAGAGCTCTAAAGCAGCAAGACTCATTTATTACTTCCTTTTGCGCATTCTCCTGGGATACAGTGGGATAGTCATATGCAGCCTATCCCAAAGAAGCCTCAGGTTTTATGCCAATGCTGCTTTCCCTTCCACACACCTGTAACCTCATTTTAGAGCGTTCGGGATGTCTGCACGCCCTCCACTAATTCTTATGGCACAAAAGCCACAGAAGTATTTAGCTTAGAGATAAAAATAAAACAAGAAAAAAGACAAATTATGACGACACTGGGCTGTTTGAGATATCCGTAATTAGATTTGTGATCTCTAGGGAAGGTTATTTTGGAGGAGGGGAAAAAAAAAATCAATTGACACCAGAAATTGCCTATATTTTTAGTTTTTCCTCCTTTGATGTCTGAATTTCATAATGGCATTTGAACCAAATATATAATCAGAATATTTCATCCATTTTTATTTTTTCTCCAGGATATGATAGAGTCAGATGTTTGTGATCAAGATCCCTTTCATTGACTTTTACTTTCCTTATTTTGTAAGCTCAATAAAGGAATCACTAACAATGTCTGGAGATAATACGTATATTTAGTAAACTAACACTAGCATGCTGAAATATTTATCAACACCAAAGCTCCTGAGAATACCAGTTTTGAGTGTATTGCTCTTGATTACTGAACTGAACTTCCAAAGTATTTAAGGGGTAAAATTTTTTAATCTAAATGCCATCTCTCCAGCAGGTCGGTTCAAACAAGCAGGTTCAATTCAAACTTGGCATATTATTAAATACAGGGATGATCTCCTTAAGTCTCACTTGCAAAGAAACTTCTTATAATAACAGTATAACACTTGCAGCAAAGTACGTTGTACTCAAAAATGATATATACGCTTTTAGTAGATTACTTCATTAACTAAACATGAGCTCACCTAGCAATGCTCCAGTACTGATTATTATCAGTGACCCAGATGTTGCTGTGGAAGCCAGCCCAAATAGCAAGACTTCTTATGCAAAGAGGATAAGGACTCCACTAGTTATAATGAAGTCTTGCAATTGGAAGTCAGAAGACTCCCTCCTGCTCTGTATCCTCAGGTTGGTTTCAATATTTTGTGTATTAGTAGGAGATGAAGAATTTTCATATTTTCTCCAAGAAAAACAGTGCTGCCTGCATTTAATTATTATATTCTGTATACTAAATAATATATAAATTTACTGTAATGGGTGGGAAAAAAATGGGAAGAAATGAAGCAGCCAGGAACGTAGCAAAATTTAGTAATACAATGGAAGAAGGAAAGAGGCATAAAAATGAAACGGAAAAGGAATGATAGAAAGAAGGAGAGGGAAAGTGAGAAAAGAAAACAATTCTTAGCTTGAAGAAAGCCACCAGACTTCCTTCCCTACTCAGGACGTGTAACACCTCCCCTCTGCCACCCTTAAACACCAGGCAAGGCGTGAAGGCTGCAAGGGCAGAGATGTAGAAAAGCGAAAAACAGGAACTCCCCCCGAACTGCTGGTTCTGTTGCCAGTTGTCTGTGGGGTTGTCATATATCCAGTCTTTCCATCTGCAAGCTGGAATAACACTTGAGCTACAGAGCAGGGCCCTGAGGATTTGCTAGCTGAGGTTTGTACAATATTTGCATACAGATAAAGTTGCTTAGCTGCAGTAAAAACGTGTAACAAATTTACAGAGAATCGGTGAAAGTGGGTAGACAGTAGCTAAGTGTGATTCTACCTGCCGCTCTACCACAAAAAGTGCAGCCAGAGGTACTGGAACACCCCTCGGAGCCGGCTCGCAGCGTTGCATGTAGCCACCACAGCGGATCAACGCGCCGGACAGGAGGAAGGTCCCGCAATGAAAATCCACGGAAACGCAGACCACCTAAGCCATTTGCAACCAAGCAGGCCCACGGATTAATATTCTAATCACAGCTTTAGAGGTCAAACAGGCAAGTTTGGGCACATGCGTAAACAAAGCTGTGATTTCTGTAAAGCAGACTCAAGGAGAGGATGGCCACCCTAAAGCAGGCTGATAAGAGCACTCTATCATAACCAGCCACTAAAGATGACACCAATTTTCACCGACTAGTTCTCAGGCCAATTTATCTTCTGGTAAAAGAATAGGAGGCAAATAATCTAACAGATAACAAACTCTATCACCATTTCAAATGAGCATCTGGTTGCTAATACTGAAAGCCACACTCTTCCCATGCCTCTGATCTCTCTCTCTCTCCATCAGCTAATCTTTGCAGCATATGAAAAATGAGCTGGTCACAAGCAACAGCTGATACAGACAGAATCAAATAGCCAACAGTGCATGTGCTGAGGGCTGATGCACCTAGACTTACCGGTCTGAGGAAGATAATCCAGAATGCTTTTAATTATATCATCAAAGCAATGTGAAGGTACAAGGAGGGGCCAGCTGCAGATGGTTAAGTGTTAATGAATGCTGGGGTGGGTAGTTTATCAAAAGAAAATGACAGGATATATATCTGAGAGGATCACTATAAAGATGAAAGTTGTAGCAGCCATTGTTGGAGCTCTTTAATGAGCTAAGAATGTCACATGTGAACCCCCTCTCCGAATCATACCAATTACTAAATGAACTTCAGTTCAATCTAGCAAATGTAATCAAGCACAAGTCATTTAAACACATGGTAAAACTCTGCCATTATAGTGGCTATTATTGTATGTGTGCTTACATGCAAGGCAAGGGGCTGCTCCCAGTTGCAAGCTGTGTGTGTTAAGTGACGGCAGATTTTAGCCTTAATGATGAGGCAGGGAGGGCTCCCTGGCAGGAAAATGACAAAGAGGAGGCACAGGGATCTGTTGGGAAGCCCGGAAAAGATCAGCAGTTAAAAGAGCAATTTCCAAGAATGTAATTTAATGTGTAAAACGAGCTTTTATTAGCACATAATTCCACAAAATCCTGGCGTGGGGTGAGGGTGCATGAAGGTCTGCAAGAGTCCTTAGAAAGGTTGGGGTATGTAATTCCTCGCACGCCATTGTGAAATAATAAGCAGTACTAACAGGATTGATGCATGCTTCATACACAGCATTACTCTCAAAGGGGAGCCCTGAGCCTTTCTCTCCCTGATAACCTTGCTCAGGATTTCCTCCCTAAGGGAAATTAACCCCCGATAGAGCAAACTTCCCCTGTTCAAAAGCAAAAAGATGGACAATTGTTTCAGCTGTAAACTAATTAAGAGAGATTACCGCGAAGAGCTGGAGGTTCAAGCCGGCCCTGCACTCCCACTGACAACGTGATAATGCCAGGCGAGGGTCAAAATCATAAATCTGAAGGGAGCACACACAATGCTTAAAGCCAAAAAGCCTCTCTACTAAGCATGGGATATTGCCACATTAACCTCACCACCTCCCAAATAAACTAGCTGAGAAAGAGAAATCCCATGGTCTCTAATCCCATGATCTCTTTGCCTTTAACTTCATACAGCTGCTGACGGAAAATATGGAGGTCTATAAATGAGCTCAAAGAACTGAGGCTATCTGTACCTCATCTGAGCACTGAAACGGTGAAAAAGCAATCATAACTACAATGATTAATCTGGTTTCTGTACTGATACGCAAACTATGTCCACCCTTGACTTGTGGAATATTAGTTCATCCTTCCCCCATTTTCATGCTTCTAAGAAAAATAAAAGCAGAGTAAGTATAAACTAAGCATTCCACTCTTATTCTCTAGTTCAATCACACATAGCTCATATAGATGTGCAGCCCAGCTGCTACATTCTCCATATGTACTCTTACACAAAGAAACATACCATCTAATCCAATGCATAGTACGAGTCTTGATTGTCTGCATTTTGGAGCTGCTTGCTCTCATGTTGATATAAAACCAGTTTACAGAGCAACACTAAAAGAAGTCTTATAGCAAAAGCTGCCAGACCACCTTTAATGTCTCAAGCATTCCTACTTTTAAAGAAAAAAAAAATCTCTAAATCACATTGCTCATTTACGGGACAGCTCTTGGCTGTAAACTCACTAATAATGAAAGACCACTGTTATGTTGGCTCTTCAAAATCCCAGACATCTTATGACCTTAATTTCACACAGCGCTTTTGGCCCAAAAGATCCCAAAGCACTTAGCAAAATGAATGTCCCTACTGTGTCCAAGGGCCCCTTTGCCCACCAGTGAAATGCTGCCACCTCCGGGCTGCCGCGCAGCAGCCGTAGGCCGCGCACAGCACGACTGCGACCAGCCGGCCTGCACAGCTCTGCTCAGGCACCCGCTTTCGGGTAGACTTCAGGGAAAATGAATAAAGTGTCAGCAGTGGCAAAACCTGT